ATATAATATAATATAGACATTTATCCATGAAAATGTCCAGTTTGAGATGTTTATAAGCTGTTCAGCCTTTAAATATTTGCACTTAGAATTTTCATGGAATCACTTTAAATACTTTTCAGTGAGTTATAGGTCTTGCACAATTCTGGTTCAAATATGGAACTTTATGTTTACTGTACTGTTAATTAATTATTTGCAAAGTAATATTGCCTTAGTGGACAGTGGTTAAAAAAATAACCTGTAAAACTGATGTTAAATGCGACGTAGTTGAAAATTTGGGTGCGCCTAACTGCTGGTGCGCCTAAGAAAAAATATTAGGCACACTGGTGCAACCAGTGCAAAAAGTTAGTCTGGAGCCCTGCTGTTTTTACACTGAAGTATGTATGTCTGAGTTACAGCTTTCTAAAAAGGACAGTTCCTCAGTCATATAACCAGAATCCTGTTTGTTGTGGAATTTGCCGTTTATTTCAAAGGTTGCTTAAATCAAAGTTGCCTGTGGTGAAAAAATTATAGTACATCATATTAAGCCAAGCTGCATGTTTCTTATAAGTGTAGAAGTAGTAGCAAATTAAAAATCTGTGATTAAAACAAAAGAAAAAAAGAATAATAACTTCACTGCTGTTGCATTGGCAGCCTTCACAGTTAATACTAATTAAAACATTAAATCACACAGGTATATGGCTAAGAATAACCAAATTATACACATTATTTTAACTTTATCTATTTTATCTCTTTTACCAAACACATTACTAAATAATTTTTTTGTGCCACTCACCATAATGTATGGTCAGCTGCTTTGGGCCTCTGCCTTTGCTGTTTCTGGCAAAGCAGTGAGCAGCTGTCAGCACCCAGTTTGGGCTTACAATTGATCCAGAACATTCCTTTGTTCCCCACTCATCCTGCGGCACAGGAAAATTAATTTTGTATGAAAATCGTTCAATTTCCATTATGTCTTCATATATGTGTGGGCGGGTATCCCATTCTATGTGGGGACCATTTTTAGCATACACCCTAACTGTGTGTGGGTGGGTGTGTAAAGAAGCCCTTACTGATGACAGAGTCACATGCCACGGTCTGGTGTAGCTCTTGATTTGAGAATGCTCCAGGTCTTTTGAGATTTCTTCTTGAGCGACCCCGCACATCGTCACACTACTGTCACCTGATTTATGAAAACAGTTCTTTTTTAAATGATTTAATAAGAGAAAAATTAGTATTTCTTCTTTAAAATTGTATAGGTTCAAGGGGAAATGTACAATTTTTGAGACTGAGCCGAGTGAAAACTGCTACTCACTTATGATTTGGTTGAACACGTCTCCCAGTTTCTCATAGGTCTCCAGAACAAAAAAATGTTTCTCATAACGTTTCTTCGAGGCCAGAGAATTCAACTCCTCTTTGTTCACCTTGCTTCCGACACCAAATACATAGACATCTGGAGAAAAAGTACATTGAACTCCATAAAATATTTTATTTGAGATTAATGGTTTGGGTTTTAATCTAGAAAAAAAAATGTATGTAAATAATTAAAATTAAATAAATTTCTGTCATTATACCTAACATTTTTTCATTCGAGTGATCATTAGATGTGTTGTTGGTGTAACCCAGGGAGCTCCGGATGTGGGCCAAAGCGATCTGAGGCTTGGCTCCTCTGTTGGAATAACCTGCAGTAAACAGGAAAAGAAGCATCATAAGGCACCAATTTCTGCTATTTCAGTAGTGCTAATGATATTAAAAAATGTATTTCAAGTTAACAGTGTTAATATTTATGAAACTTAGTTTTTACCATCAGTTTCTATGATGATAATGTTCTGAGTCCCTTCTAAATGTTTTGTGGTGCTGTTCACTCTTAAGAAGTTCATGGTACCCTGGACATTATGGAGAGCGGAGGACAAGTTGGTGCCCGTTTTGCGCCCGTGGCCTTCGGATGAACAAACACAAAGTGCTACATTAGTCAGTCTATTAATGGATTTGTTCATAACACATTAAAAGTATGATGTTGGTGTATTGCACAGGTTCACATCCCAGAAGGTAAACAGATCATGAAAGAACAAATCAGGCCTTACTGCTGTAGACAAAGTTGTTCAGAGCTTCTATGACCTCATCAGCATTGCCGCTTACATCTGTATTTGTAATGTCTACAATGACTTTAGTTTCACTGGCAAATGACAACACATGGAAATTCAACTGGACTTCATAGCTGTCGAGCTGGAGAGACAGTGAAGGAGATGTTTAAAGCTAAATTTACAGGCTTAATGTTTATCTCTTTCTTATATACTGAAATCATTTTTGTGCTGACCTTTTTGATCAGAGCGATGGTGGCATTCCTGGACTTATTAAAGTCCTTCTCCTTGATGCTTCCCGATGTGTCGAGTAGGATGTAGATGTGCATACGACTGACTTCACCCACAAGGAAGCTTCGGCCAAATGATGGAACAACATCTTTTCATACAAACATGCATAAAAAATTACATTTTTGGTTGCTTTTCTAACATTCATCATAACTTGTGGTAGTCAGAATTGTAAAGTAACTAAGTACAAATACTTTGTTACTGTACTTAAGTAGAATTTTGGGTATCTGTACTTTACTTGAGTAATTATTTTTCAGCCTACTTTTTACTTCTACTTCTTACATTTTCACACAATTATCTGTACTTTATACTCCTTACATTTTTACAAAAGGCAAGAAGTAGAAAGTTGTTACTTTATTTCATTTTTGCTTGTTTTTATTCCAGCTTGTTATTGTAAAAAATAAATACTATTTATATAAATTGTGCCTCCTAGGTAGAGTGAATTTAATTGTGGTTGAATGAGAAGTATAAATATATAAAATTCTGATACCGTATTAGTTTGTACACAAACAAATCATGTCACACTCCAGCAGGACATAATCATTAAAATAAAAGGACTGTACTTAAGAAGTATTTGTATTTCATGAATTATATTATTGTAATTGGCCGCAGTCCTCAGATAGATTTTCATTTTGGGGAAAAGCTTTGTGCAGCCTTGATATATGTATATAAACTGAAACAGCTAGAATATTGCAACGTAAATTTAACATAAATTAATTACATTAATACGATATGGTAATTTCTGCACTTTTTTGGGGAGGTCACCTCCTAATAAATGTCCTTACAGAAAATCTAACTGCTCATTTTAAATTAGTACTTTTACTTTTAATACTTAAGTACAAAAAATATCAGATACTTTAATACTTTTACTCAAGTAATATTCCTAAAAGAAACTTTAACTTTTACCAAAGTAATTTTTTGGTAAGATACTTGTACTTTTACTCAAGTATGACTTTGTGGTACTTTATACAACACTGGTGGTAGTTTCTCAGATTGAAGTAGTTGAACGTTACGAAGGCTCTGCATAAAGCAGAGATGAGACCCTGTGGTTCCCAAATGAGACATCATCTTCTCCACAACTGGAACTTATGAGATCCTGTCCACAAACACTACAATCACTAAAACCAGCTGGACCTGAGTTCTATAAGCATCAGTAAATTGATAAATTGATGGTTTCCCAGACACAAACTGGGGTTTGTCCTAGACTTAAATGGTCTTTTAACACAGACTAATGTAACATGCTTTTTGGCACAGCATAAAATAGTCCAAGACTTTGTCCATTTCTGAGTAAATCAAAATTATTCCATAAAACAAGGTTAGAACTGACCCAAAATTAAATAAAAGTTTCAGTTTAATCATGAACAGGTAGTTTTAAGTTAATCTGCTTCCGGACCCTTTTGTCCTGCTGTTCGAGAGCTCTAATGTGTTCATATTTTACAAAATTAGTCTAAAGTAAGACTATTAATACTAAGCACCCACTTTTCTTTTTGAAGTCTGGAGAAAGTACATCCATCATTCCTGCAAGTGATTCGGCCATGGCTCCAGCCACAAAATCAGGAGAGTCGAAGGTGTTTGGACCTGCAAGGAAACAAAAGTTATTTTATCGTTGATTTCAAACAGCTGCTTGAGCTGTTGCTGAGAGGAAAATGTGTGTTAATTTCTACAGTTTAGTTGTTCATATTAGTTTGGTTTGGCGTTTGGGAAAGGACTGTGGTCTTGTGAACACATTGAGGAAACATGAAACTTAATCCTAAAAACCTTGACACCGTGGCGCTGAGCCACTCCACTCCCTGTTCTCCAGGCAAACCCGTTCAGATGACCCCAGAAGATGCAGACCAGTCTGACACCTGTACGTCACTTTCTCTCCCGTCTGAAATCGACTGGCTGACCTTTCTGCACCCGGCGGGATCCCCGGGTCATCACAATCATCAGCTGCAGGAAAAGAAACACGAGCATTGTGTCATTTGTTTTGGACTTACAGATTTGTATTTGTGCTCAAACTGTCCAGTATACAGTAAATAACATGATTAAATATTTATTAATTAGATGACTTGAGCTTTGTCATGAACATTTTCATATTTTTCACCATGATCGGCACAGACTGGAGTGGCTCCTGTCCAGTGTCCGGATAAAGTGCAGTTCCTTTGCTCTGACCCGTACAAGGTGAACCCCTCCTGGCAGGAAAAGCTCTGCGATGTGCCAACTCTGAACCACTGATTCCTGGGCCAAAAGTCACCATTGTCTAACTGGAGCTGACCGGGACACAACACGTCTGTACACAGGAGAGGAGAGTATGATAAAGATGGAGGAGGAGAAAGCAGAGTGTATAAGAACGGAAGGTTGTGTTCATTAAATATTTGACCTTTGCACGTGGGCCTGGACACGAGTCTGCCACTCGGTAGTCTCATGGGTGACCACTCTCCATCCGCTTCACAGGTTCTGTAGCTAACAGGGTGTGGATACTGTGCCAGGCCACAGTGATACGTCAAAATACTGCCCTGCAAACCGTCCTAGAAAGAAAACACACAATGTAGTTTTTAATATTAAACCAAGAAAACGTGTTTATTAGCTTTCAAACAACTGACGGAGCTAAGTGAGGATGCAGCAAATCTAGTGCAATAAAGGTTTTAATCCATAAGCCTGCAAATTAAGAGTAGTGTTTGGACTCAGCTGAACAAGTCCTCCACAGTTTCCTCTTTTTATTTCATAGAACACACACGCTCACTCCCCCTCAGGGGACACTGTCCAACTTCACAACACATTTCTGGGCTTAGGTCAATGGTGTTGATTCACAGAACTGAAATAATGACAAAAATCTTTTTTTTTTTTCATTCATTTATTTACTACACCAAACTTTCTGTCCCCCGCATGTTTTTTTTACCTTTACAAACGTTTAATCTGCTATTAAGATGCAGTAACACATTTTTCCAAGCCCTCTTTAAACGCACCATGAGAACGCGGTGCCAGGTGAACGAACACCTGTGGATCATGGAGGGGTGCAGAGCTGTCTGTGAGTTCTGGAGGATAAGAACGGATGGTGTTCTGTCGGGTCAGACGGCTGCTACACAGCCACTTGGAACTAATCAGTATTTTTATCTGTAGGTTGTCATGTTAGTTTTGGTTAATAGGCCCATCAGTAAATTTAGGTGATTATCATAATTACACCTGTTTAATGGGTAAAATTATTAATATTCTCATTTTTTAAACATGTAGTTGAGTCAGTACTGCTTGGCACAATGTCATGTGTTACAAATAAAACTAAATCAAAATCAGACAAAAAAAGTAAAATTGAACTCTAAACTCGTTTGATAAATTATCAGATTAATTTTCTGATCTCGGCCAGCAGTGAGTTTAAAACCAGGATGATTCAAACATTTCATACTAAATAGTCATGAAATCAAGTTTTTACTTTAATGTGTTTAGCAACCTGTTAAAATACTCCAGAATGCAGGAAAAAGGATCTCATTTCATCAAAATTTCCTGGGGGAGAACCCCCAGAACCCCCCACCCCCCACCCCACCACCACCACCTGCATGAGAAGATGCCTTTCTTGGAAAATTGAATTTTGTGCACAGTAGTAATGAAAACTTGAACTGATTTTACTCTTTGAATGCAGTGGTACAGTTACTGACAATGAAAGCCACCAGCTGATCCTGCTCCATGGTCCTCACATCTGTCTGACCAGGTCTGAGCTGAGAGGGTCTGCAGAGCTCCTGCAGATGTTCACAGAGACTTTGAACTCTTCAGATGAGATTGGAGGTCAGATTTATGGCAGTTTGGCTGATTTTGCTTCCAAAAATCAAGTAGACCCACAATTTGCTGAGAACTGCCATTTCAAGGAACAAGGAACAGAACATTTTTAGAAAAAGAAAATGATGGGGCTGCAATTAAGATTTTAATTCTGGTGTCAAGATTTTTAGATGTTGTTTTAAACAATATATTTTCATATATTTTCATTATAATTTTTCAAATTAATGCATTTTCCTCTAAATGCTTAATACATTTATTAAACCTTATAGTTATATACACTGTGTTCTTAGAGGTCAAATTTTCTGCACTGGGTTTATAATTACAGTAGATACAGCATTTAGTTTTGCGTATCTTTTACGATATACTTATGGTGAAGTAGGGCCCCCAAAACAAATTTTGCTTAGGGCCCCCAAATGTCTAGGGCTGGCCCTGTGCAGGGGGTAGAGAAGCTGTGTCTGTGATTGGAAGGTTGCCGGCTCGACTCCCCAAACCAACCAGCCCCACCCTGGGCCCCTGAGCAAGGTCCTCAACCCCCAATTGCTCCCCGGGCGCCGAAATTGGCAGCCCACTGCTCCACATGTGTGTTCACATGTGCGATGGGTTAAATGCAGAGACTTAATTTCCCCTCTGAGGGACAATAAAGGTTAATAAAATCTAAAAATAAAAAAACAAATAAACCTGAAAAATATATGTGTACCCAATATGTGCACACCCATCTATAAATACAAACCTACATACATAGACACACACAACAATACACATAAATTCCATTTAACATGTCTAAAAAGGGAAGAAGTAAAACCTGTTTAATCCTACCCCTTCTCCAATACTCCATAATTAAACTTACACACAATTACACAACTTTCTTAACTTTAAAACAAATGGTAGAATACATTTCATGAACTTTACCTAAATTTATCATTATTTTGCAGAAATACTATACACTACTGGATTTTTTTCCCTCTTGTTGTTTTTCCCTCCCAGTACAACATCATATTTAGTTAACTGGAAATTATTTTGTTTGCATATAATTTAAAGTTCAATTTCTTTTTTTACTTCAAAGACTACTCCGAGTACAGGAAGAGTAATATGTTTCTTAATCAAATTGCCATGTTGGTGTTACATGTGTAACCTAACAGACCAATGCTTCAAGGTAATCTTGAAAAGAGAGAAAGAAACCCTTTTTTTACCTGTGAGTAGGTGACATGTCCACCTTTGATGCTCTCTGTGACGGAGCAGTTCTGAGGCTGATCTTTATAATCATATTCATAATCCTCCTGCAGAGATCCTGAAGCACAAAGGTCAAGTGTTGTTGACAAGCGTGCATCTCTAAACACAGAGGATCAAACTTATGGCATCAAACCATTTAAATGTGATGTAAAAAATCTAAGTTTAAAGACAAATTTCACCCTTTTGTATGAAAATAAAGAGCAGAATCCAGAGTGTAGACTTGATGTTCATGACCAGACTCAGTTGTCGTCCTTTTATCTTCAAGCGGCAGAAATCAGAACCAGAAAATCTGAATTGAACTGCAGTCAGCTGCTTTATTTGATGACTGATTACTCATTAACCCAGCACCACCAAACATGAAGGGACACATTGAGCAATTTGAGGACAAACCAGATTTATACTCACACTTTCGGTTTTGGTGGCACTACCTCTTTCTTATGCTTCAGGGTTCTGGGAAGTCAAGCTTCCATTAATTGTTTAAAATGCAAAGAAATAAAGGCATTCTTTGAATGTTTTCACGCTCAACTAGATTTTAATCAGCCAGCTTTGCAGCGTCTAATCTTGCTAATGCTTCATCACATCCTGCAGGTATTACTCCCACCTTGATATTACTGCAGTTTGAGGGAAAATCTTTTTAGAATTAACACAAAATGACTGCTCTGTGTTTTGGCCAGGGGATTAAAGTGGCTGCTCGTGTTTGTTTTTTAGTGTTTCAATTAAACATTTCAGGAGATTGGGCAGATTGTAGGGACTTAACACGGACCCCCACTTCCAGCTCAATCCTCACCCATTACTTAGTCCCTCCTCCTTCTCGAGGCTCAGTCCTCTCAGGTGACTCGGCTTTTCTCAGCACTGAGAAGTTTCTAAAACTTCTTTGTAAACGGTCTCATACACCCCCACAAAAAAAAAAGGAGAAAGACACACAAACTGAAGCAGCTTGTACAGAACCAGACATAAGACCAAGAGGCAGCACTCACTGACTTTTTGAAAACTGGGAACTACACATTTTTTTAATGTGAATTGGTTCATTTTTACGTGGCTTGTATTGAAGGATTTCCAGCAAAGAGCCAAGCTGTTTGGAGTTTTCACAACTTGAATGGAGACTGACGAAATGCAAAATGTACAACAACAAGAGGACTCAGAGAAAACTCCTTAAACCGTCCTACAAGAAAAGCAGCTCTCTACAAGATGTCCTCCGAGAAACACTCATCCAAACATTTGGACCCATATGAAGAGGACCAAAGTCCCTCTTCTGTTCCCAAGAGAAAGATGTCTGACCTCAGCCAAGTTTCTGTTTTCTCAGACTCCTCTGGCATTTATAAGGTGAAAGAGAGAATTTGAAGTTGGCATACTTTGCTTGGTTTAAAACATTTAAAACCTTTTAAATGAGACATTACTTGGAAACCTGACAACTTCAAACTCTAATGAACTTGATTTATTGTTTGTTGTCAAAGTAGAGACAAAAGTACGGAAATTGATTAGTAATAATCACAACTGTAAAACATTATGTGCCCAGCTTTTGTTTTTGTGATTATATATTGTAATCCACACATTTGTCAAGCAATCTGAGCATATATAAAAAAAATTTAGATATTTAAAAATATATATACTGTATTACATTATACACACAGATTGTTGTCTGAAGCCTTAAAATGTTACACTCTTAAAAAGGTCTTTGTGTATGGAAATAGTTTAAAACAAGTCTAAGGATGGTGTGACACACACAGATTGAGTTACATTTGCGCACAAACCTACCTTTGTGTTCACACAAGCTTTTCCTTAAGCCTCAGCTCTGTACAGGTACAAACATGTGCTGCATTTAAGGACTGGTAAAAAGCTGGTTCATTTGAATGATCTTCTGTTTCACAGCTTATTTCCTCTCTATAGTTATTCTATCCACATATAGAACCCAGTCTAAGTGTGTCACACCATTGGTATACTTGTATTTAATAATTTGTTTAAATAGGCCTGTTGGTAAGGTGAGGGATAAAAATCTATCAGTACATACAGTATTTGTTCTGAATTTACTGTTAAGATGATGGATGGATGGATGGATGGATGGATGGATGGATGGATGGATGGATGGATGGATGGATGGATGGATGGATGGATGGATGGATATCCATGGATATGGATATCCATGGATAGATGGATGGATGGATGGATGGATGGATGGATATCCATGGATGGATGGATGGATGGATGATGGATGGATGGTTTTGGTGACCCTAACTCAAGGTCTTTGCCAGCTATAAGTGATCTTATAAATCAGTATTTATTGGAAGATGAGATCATTTTAGCTAAAATGAATTTGTTAAAGCTTTGTGGTGGTGACAGAAGTAGCAAATCCCAGTTGAGTAACTTTATGAAGAAAGAAGAACAGAAACTAAAGAAATACCAAGAAAAGAAAGTGAAAAGAGGGAAGATGTGGAGAGCTGAAGCCTCGGTGTGTCAGTGGTTATCAGAGTGGCTCAGATCTGAGAAACCAGATGATTGAGAGGCTGCGTAGAAACCTCAGACATCTGGTGAGGCCCCAAGCTTAAAATGCAAAAAATATTGTCTAAGTTAAAAAAAAGTTTTTTCATCTCTACATTTGAATAAGAACTTTTTTTTTCCCAAAACATGGCAACATTTTGCATAAAAATACAGCCATTATTAAACTTTGCTCTTTTATTTGTTCTGCTTTTCCCAGAATGTGTTTTGCAACCTTGCCTTTGAGCTGGAGGAGGAGCGAGAGGAGGGGGTGGAGGGATTCAGGACCTCTTCATCAACCCCCGAACCAATCAAACCACCAGCTGCTAGTGAGTTACAAAAACACTTTACTGCTCTCCAGGACTGAAGTGTCTTACAACTTTTATAGTTTGAATCCATTAATCAAAGCTAAAATAAGCTCGTCTTGGAAGTAAGAAAAGGGGGTATCTTAAAAGAATGTATCTCATCCTTTACCCTGCATGCCAAAGTTAAATCTGTTAGAGGTTGGTTTATATACTGGGTATGAATCTCTGCTACCATCGGTTGTTGTAAATAAATAACTGGGTTGAAGCCATTTTTGCACTTTCTAACTTAACTGTGGCAGCCTGGAATTGGGTTGACTCCAAATATAATTCAATGATTGGTTGAAATCAAATTATTACTTTGACTAATTTATTCAAATTCTGTTTCCTGATTTATGAGATATTTTGCTTACAGAAAAAAACACAAGCAATTACATGACTGCTGGTGTTTCTTGTCAGCAGGTCATCATGTTGTTGATGACTCTGCTTGTATGATGTCAGTGTGTCTGATGAACCAGTGAAGAAATTTAAATAAAACTCAGAAATAATTTGATCAACTGTTGGAGTCAACCTGATTCAAGATGGCCTCCCCAGGTAATCAGCCTTAATAAAACCCAAGGCAACAGATCATAGCTTCATTAATTTTCTAGTTGTTGCTAGTTTTGTTAGTATGAAATTAGCTGCATCAGAATGATTAAGTCTTAGTTCCACACATAAAACCTTACTCTGGGGTTAAAAACAAAACATATCTCAAACAGTGATGTTATTATGGATTTTAGCTTGGTGTTTGAACAAAATTAATTGATCCCAAAAAGCTGTATAAAAATAGGAACGGTTCTAGCATAAAATGCATTTATTACATAGAAGTTGTCGAGCGCCTATTGTCCTGAAAACACATAAAATCTCAGCTGTTTTGATTTTTAAAATGGAGATGATTGCTGTTTTTTATTTGATTGTAGAAAACAAAGGCCTGATGTTTGTAGCTTTCACTCTCAGCCCTCCTGGTGAGAATAAAAAGGAGGAACTGCTGAGATGTTTCCAGGTTTTAAACAAACTTTTGAACTAGACTCATTATAAGTAGGCTGAATATTATAAATTGTTGTTTTAATCATTTTTAAATCACAGACTTTCTACTGAGCATCCAAAGTTATGAGAATAACCCCCAACATGTTCATTTTGTGTCGTTCAGGCCTTGGTTGTGGATTCGTAGAAGTGTGTTGGATGCGTCTCCGGGGTCCTGGTCGGAGCTGGGGGCTAGTGGTGGTTTCTGCTACAGTCCTGCTCCTGCTGGCAGCCCTGGGTCTAGCGCTGGCTCTCATCCTCACTCGTAAGTTGCACCTCCAGTGGGTCGTCATAAAGGACAATAACATAAAATACTTTGATGAGACTTGACCACCATCAGCTGTACTTAAATGTAGCTCGTTTAAAAAGCTAAATCATGTTTTAAACAAGATACCTGCCATTAATGCTACAAATATTCATTTTCTGATTGGCAGGTTTTCTGTCGTTTTAAATAATTTCCTCCTCATCACTTAGATATAAAAGATCAGGCCGTGGAGGATCAACTGATGACCACTCCTGACCTGCAGAGTGATGGACATGAAGCGTCCCCTCCTTCACCCACAGTCCCCTCAAACAGAAGTCACATAAAAATCACCGCCTCACCTCAACCTACCCAGACACATCCACGTGAGACGAGTAGGCATCCGTTCATCATTTAGCTTTTTCATGTTTTTTTATTTTTGAACAAGTTATTTATTCTCATCAGGCTGTGGAGGAGTTATGACCGACTCTGAGGGCAGCTTCAGTTCTCCGAACCATCCTGGCTCCTACCCCCCGAACTCACTGTGTGTGTGGGTGATTCAGGTCCCGCCTCCTCACCTGGTCCAGATTCATGTTACCTCTTTGGCCGTGGAGGGTCCGTCTCCCTGTCTGTTTGACTGGCTGGAGGTGCAGGAGCCTGTTGAGCAGAGTTCTGTGGTCACCAGGTCAGGAGAATGTTTTTCTTCTCAATTGTCACTTCTGCTTTTTTAATTTTATTTTTTAAAATAGAAATGTTTCATGCAAACAATTTTTTTTGCCAAGACAAAATACTTATGACCATTTCAAAATTCTTCTCATCCAACATGTGCAACTGATGAAAATCCTGTTTTTCTATTATATATTTATTTATGCTTGTCTGTAAAGATTTACAGTGTGGCACTTCTGTTGACAATATCCCACATCAATTTTCCTATTTCAGTTTCTAGAGGTTGGTCATGTTAGTTAAGAAAGGAAGAATTAAAAAGGTCTAGCATTCCTTTTCATAAAGTATACCATCCACTGCCTTTTATGCCAGAATGTAAAACTAAAATGATCTTACATTGACAAATAAAGTTGTGAACATTTTGGTCAAACCTTGAAAACAATATTATGAGCAACCTCACTGTCCCAGTAAGTGTTGGGGATTACTGCTACTTACTAATTACTACTGCCACATCAAATTTTAGCTAAAAGCTTGTAAAAAAATAGAGCTAAAGCCATTTTTGTGCTGGCCGTAGTTGATTAGATGTGTGAACATTTCATTAAAATCCATCTACTGGTTCCTAAGATGTTTTGCTAACAGACAAAACAAGGTTTGCGCCAACAAAAATATGCTACATTTTTGATTAATGATGTCATTCAATAGGTGGTATTTGGAGTATGTGTTGTAAAGGATTCTTGGCACCACACCAAATTTGTCTGATAAAGACATTTTTGTGCTTTCTACAGACTTTGAAACATCCTAAAATGGGTTTGTGTTAAAAGGTTATACTTATGCCCCTTTTGCACTGGTTTGACTTGGCTCTCCATGGTTCCGAGGCTTTTCCACTAAAATGGATTCATGCACTAGACCCTTTCTCAGAATGTATTTTGTTGTGGTTCCAAGTGAAGTATTAGTAGTTTTGAGAAGTATTTCAAACTTTATTCATTCCATAAAAACAAAATTATATGTACAATAAAAAAGAAAATACAAAAACGCCCACCAAAAAAATAAGAAAGAAAAAAAAAGGAAAATATATTTTCAAGCCAGCACGGTCCAAAAGTGTACCGCGCTGGCCTGAAAACGTGACGTCAGATGACTGTCAGTCACTGATTGGTTAGCGGGTGGAGTCACTGGTTTTGTCACTGGTTGGAGAAGGGGTTATCTGCGGCATAGAAATGAACACACAGAAGCCTCGACGACTGTGTCGGTCCGCTGCAGTGACAAGCTATATGGCGGACGCGCTGTGAACTACTACAAATGAATGGACTTTGTTTCATAATGCACATTTTAACAGAGTACTTAACATTAATACGGCACCATCATTTATTCAAACACACACACACACAATTTGAGAAAAACAGGTACCAAAAACAATGTATTAAAACTTCTTACAGGACTACAAAATACAACTTTATTGATCCCACACACAATTAATTTATGTTTCATAATCTGTAAAGGTAAAGTAGTGTAAAAATCAATTTATGTTACACTTTGTATTTTTATATGAATTGTAATGAATGAATTTAGGAAACCTATACAGAATTTAAAAAAAGCTAAACACACAGCAACAACAGTCTAACAAAACATTTGACTGAACTAATATATTTATTCGTTATTTTATCTTCTGAATAAGGGATACAGTTGGTAATAAGAACTTTCTTACAATCTTAAACTTTTGATAGTTTCATTCTGACCAGATATAATATGTTCCCTCCTTGCACCCACAGGAGGGAACATATTAT